TAATCATATTGTCACAACATATTTTAGGGTGCTCACTCAACCTTGTTCTATCTGCCTCTCTGTCTCTCTTCTGCCTTTACACCCCTCTCTTTTGCTTTTCAACTTTAATGCACTTTACTCTCTTCATCCATTTCCATTTACTTGTCTTGCTCTGTCCTCTTTTCCATTTTCCCTTTGCTTGCTCCTTTTCGTCTTCCACCTCCATCTTTCATTCCTCCCCCCATCTTTGTCTTTCTCACTTGCACTCCTCCCCTTTTGCTTTCTCTCCCTCTTTTTGCCCAAAGTTCTGCAACCCAGCTGGCATGGTTTTTTAGTGGTATAGTAAAATATAAATATAATAAGGACGTTTTTGAGCTGGTGAATCCATTCTGAGCGGAGAAACATCACCACAGAGCCCGCAGATGTGGCATGCTCTGAGCAGAGAGAGAGTGGGATGGAGAGAGGGAAGAGAAAAAATCCCTCATTTGACATGGAGAGAGTGCAGCAGGAGGACTGACTGCGTTATTGTTGGCATTACTAAACTTCTGGACTTGTTATTAGGACAGTTCTTATACATCTTACCCAAGTCTTCTTCCACAATCTTAAAACAAGTCTCCAAATTGGTCCTCAAGTTTTAATTTAAGACTAGTCCTAGGTAACTTAAAAGAAAAACATCCTTACTGTGTGGAATTAATAAATATGCAGTTTAAGTGCAGTTATGAGAGAAGTTAACCAACTCTCTGGGGCATACATTTGATTTGCAGACTGTTACACCGGTATTGGTACTAGATATGGTAAATAAAATAAAATCTCATCTTTTCAAATCAAACAGTTTTTTGGTCATAGCTATATGTCCAAATAGTTTAACATAACTCATGAAAATTATTTGATTCAGCTGTATTTTGTTGTATCATATAGCTTCTTATTCTATGAATGACAAACTTAATCTGAGAAGCAGTGTCTGTGCACATTAAAGTGAGTTTGTGTGCTACTGATTATTGCATTTTTGTATGTGCACGTTTGATAGTGTATGTCTGAGGCTACCTGTGTGACATGTGTGTGTGCACATGTGCTTCTATCTGTCCATGCGTAAGTGTTTACTGTCAGAGCACAGGATACTTCAGTCCCGTGGGCAGCCCTTTGTTTGCTTTAGCAATGCGGTGGCTAGCCTAGCCCACTAACTCCAAGACACATTTAGCCTGTGCTCCACTTTTATATCATCCTGCTTTTATTTTCCTTCTGTCTGCTCGCTGACACAAACATGCTTCACTAAACTGGCCTTTCGCAAGACTAGTATTGGTTCTGCTCTGAAGCATTGATAGACAGATTTGGTCAATGTGGTTTTTACTGGCTGCCATGTTAGCTCCGGCGTACTGGTCGCATTGGCCAAGTGGCACTGGCTGCCAAAAATGCATGGCAAAATGTGTTAAAGCTATAGTTAAGTGCAGCACATCCAGGGAGTTTTATACCCTTGCTATGGAAGAGTAAAACATCCAAAGTGTCAGACAAACCCCACTCTGATCCTTTGAAAACTACTGTATAGAATGTAGTGTTAGGTGTTTATTGTGGTCTGGGGTTGGACATTGGAGTGTGTGTGTGGAGAGACAGACAGAGAAGGAGGAGGAGGAGGAAGAGGGATTCTGGTTTTAGCCACCAGCTGCTGTTACCTTGAGCGTAACGTACTTTAACCCCCATCACAGCGATGCACCACAAGCCACAAACACGCTAGCTTCCACTAACTGCAAAACAACTCAAACCCACTTGTTTACCAGCTAATGAGTTGTACCTTCTCTTACTCATTCAACCCCCTCACTTCTTTCTTTCTTTTATCAACTGCTTAGTTCCCATCTTGCACCCTCATTTCCAAATACAGTATCTTCTCTTCAATCTCTTTGTACAATTTTCTCACTCTCTCTCATTAACTGTCTTTCTGTATAATCCTTTTTCACATCCCCTCAAACTCTTATTCTTCATTTCCTTTTATCTGTTTTCCTCCTTTTGCCCCACTCTTTGTTGGTTAGGGCCCTGGGTATGAGTGGGTAACCTCTGTGCCTATGTAAAGGCCCTGTGCTGTGGAGTCATGGAGCCCCAGTGTCAGTAGATGAAAGCAGAGAGAAGCTCTGGAGCTGGCGCTCAGCGCCCTCTGTCCTACCACCATGGTCTCTTATTTCACAAAGAAAATTAATAACTTTTACAAACATCAATGAGCGAGCCCTGACGCTTGGTTTAGTTGTCAGCTGGCCTCGTGTATGCCTGTGTATGTGTGAGTATATGAGTTTATACTGTCCACACATGCCTGGATGTGTGTCTAATTGTGTGTTTGAGGGCTTGTAATGTGTGTGCAAATGTGTGTTTGAGCTCATAACTTACAGTATGTGAATCATTTCAGTAGTGCCAAATGACATGGACAAGAGAAAGTGACAGGTTGATGAATAGTAACAGAGGCCGAAGCCTTTTGGTTTCATCTGATGAGATTGTTGCCTGCTTGAAGGGGTATGGCGTCCTTTCTTGAGGCAAAGAGGAACTGAAAGACAGATGGCTGAAGGGAAGGATGGACGGATGGGAGAATGTGACCACTTCTGAAACACTGTTGACAGCCGCTCCGAATAGACAGCAGGCTTGCTTGGAGCCACACCCGTTTTTATGATCTTCAAAGGAAGGATGACACACGTACACACTCATGCACACCAACAAAATATCGATAGTTACAGGAAAACATATGCTTGCAGAAACGTGAGTGCACATATATTTGCATATATTGGAGAATTTTGCTCACAAATCAAAAATGTGTCGTCTCTAAACTGAAATGCCAATCATATAGAAATTCTAATTGCATTTAAATGTTAAATGGCATGTATTTATAGTATGCTACACATTTAACCTGAGAGCAGGGTAAAGCACCTTACAGTGTCCTACATATGCCAGTGCTGACTGCCGCGGTGATGCCATACAAGGCACTGGCCTACTCATTGGTAGCTTGTTAGTCTCTTGCTCAACACCTACTGTAAACAGGCAAGAGAATGCATAACTGGATGACCAAGCCTTAAAAGAATAGTTTGATATTGTGATATGCTGCTCTCTGTCAGGCAAACGTTATATGAAAAAATCAGTGCCACTCTCATTTCTATATGTATGTAGTGTATGATATGTATGCAGTTAGCTTAGCATAAAGACTGGAAATGATGAAACAGCTGGCCTGGCTCTGTCTGAAGGTAACAAACCAACATGAGCACCTCTACAGTTCAATAAATAACATGTTATATCAGTTTGGTAGGTGTAACAAGGGCAAGTTATTGTTTTACAGGGAGGCATGTGTCATGATAGCCTGTTGTCAATATGAGGCTGGCAGGTAAACAGCAGAGACTCAAAGAAATGACTGGTGAATTGTCCTGCTAACCCCCTGAGGTACAACAACTTGTCATTTGTACAAATCAGTGTTTGTACAGATTACATAAAGATGATATGATGTGTTAACACTAACTGGTAACTTGGGAGGTGGATTTTGTCCTGGTCGAGTCCAGGTAGTTTCCTCCTGTTTGCAGTCTTTTTGCAAAGCTAGGCTACCTGGCTGAAGGCTGTAGCCTTACATTTATGAGAGTGGTATTGATCAGCATATTTGTCAAGTTGAACTATTGCTTCAGTGGTCAACATTAGTATATCACCTGAGACACTGCTGCTGACTAATGTAGCTAAAAGCTCTGCAAAGGAACCTTTTAGGTGTATAATCTTATAAGAGGTATCGTACAAAATTAGTTCCCATGTCTCCTATTGCTAAAAGCAAAGAGATTTTCTCCTTGTATGATGAGGTGAAACTTTATCAGAGCCGACAAACTCAGCAAAACACTGATGCCTCTGTAACAAATTTTATTTTTTTAACTGGCCTGTGTTTTCCATACCAGGATAGTTCTAATGAATTTATACAAGTGTCCATTGATCTATTTCAGCTAAAAGGTAAACAGAGTTATAGAAGGCTGTTTACTGTGTTTGAATCTCACTCTTTGCCTTTCTGTGTTCCACTGAGAGACATGAAAAGCAGTGGCACAGCAAAAATACTTCATGGTGTTTACACGCACAAATAATAAACCATAAATTGTGCAAACCCTCAGCCTTGTACAGTTCATTTCATTCAAAGGAGCTCATCCTGAGAAACAGGGGTGAGACCACTGACTTTCTGCTGGCAAATATTTGAAGAGCTAATTTGGAGGGGCTGGATTTGCTGGTGTTAAACTGTGTGTGTATGTGTGTGTGTCAGCCACACACAGCCTGCAGCCGGGGAACCAGACAGCCAAAAATGAATAAATTAAATATGCAACTTGTCCATCTTAGGAAACTGCCATAAAGTAATAAGTCTTGTTGATTCATTACGATGATTGTCTAGACTAGCTGGTAAGGCTGTAAGTCATCAGTCATTCAGGCAAGGTGCCAATCATAGATTCAGTTGTTTGGCCAGTTAGAAAATCTGCTTCACTGTCAGTGAGTCAGTCAGTTATTCACCCAAGCAACTCCCCATAGTCCACCTGCCCAACATCTAAGCAGTCAGTGTGTCTAATAGCTAGTAAATTAGTCAGATACCCAGCCAGTCAGCCAAACAGTTAACCACTGACCCATAATCTTATTTGATATTTGAATGCAGACAGGGTAAAAAAAAAAAAAAAACAGCAGCTGCATACTCCATTAAAATGATTGGTTTAATTGATTGTGACTGCCTGTTGTTTACAGTCTGTTGTCAGCATACAGAGCTGTCAAGGGCACAGACAGACAAAGACAATAACTGGAAATGTGAAGTGGCAGCAACAAAGGGCAAAACTTATGTTTACTGGTAGCCTGCCTGCCAGCAGAGTGTGGACAGGAGTCTCCAGCGCGCCCTGTGCCCAGGAGGGGCGGGGTGGGTGGCAGAGTAGGGACAGAGGGAGAGAAGGAGAGAAGGGAGGGAGGCAGGACTGGCAGGGTGCGGTCTGAAGTGGCAACAGATCATTTTGGATCACTCATATCTTTTCAATTCAACTGGAAAGCTGCAGCTTGTTGCGCGCTGGCCACATATGGAGAGTGAACGCTTTCGTTCCAGAGAGGCACCAGCCAAACAGCAGGCGAAAGTGGCTGATGTTGTGACCATTTCCCAGAGCAAAAGGAAAGGGAGAGAAACCAAAACACTGCAACCTGGATATTGGACAGCTCGGTAACCGCTCTCTCTCTGTAACTATCTCACCCTCCAAATCGACTTTGAACCTGTTTGTTTGAAATACACGGACTTTACAGCCTGCACACTTACTGTTGATTCTGCAAGACACAGGGAGACACGTTTCTCAATTTGGATCCATTTTTGGAGCTGCTAAAAACCTCTCTGGTGTCCTCATGGTACCCGGTACAGCCGAGGGGCTGCGCTTCTTTTATCCGAATTCTTCGGACGTGATATTGTGACTGTCACGGACGATGGAGTCGGGAACTGAACCGGGGAGGTACTGAAGACATCTCTCTCCCCAGAGAGAGTCCTCCCTCCCCCCCGGGGCGATGCGGATCTCCTTCCTCCTTCTCACCGCCTCTCTGTGTGCCTTGGTCCTCCTCGCACCTGCCTCGGAGGGCTGTGGGCCGGGGAGGGGGTACGGCAAGAGGCGGCTCCCGAAGAAGCTTATCCCGCTTGCCTACAAGCAATTCAGCCCCAACGTCGCCGAGAAGACCCTGGGAGCCAGCGGGCGACCCGAGGGCAAAATAACGCGTAACTCTGAGCGGTTTAAAGAACTGACGCCGAATTACAACACAGACATTATCTTCAAAGATGAGGAGGACACGGGAGCAGACAGGCTTATGACCCAGGTGAGGACGGGAGATGAATGGATACAGCTGGGGGCGCACGGACGCAAACATCATAGATGCGCAGTAATGGACTATTGCTCCTGAGTGCTACTGCTTTATATCTGTCATTGTACTGACCTTAGGTCATAGTGATAAACATTTAACATTTCAACACCTTATTCAGTTAATCCTGAGCTGTTATCTGACTACAGCAAACATGTGGCTGAACCAACCGAATCACGTCAGATTCGAACACACTATTGCATCCAAATGTCTGCTGAATGTTTGCTGTTAGTTAAATGTTTAAACAAAAATGACTGAGTTCTTCACTCACTGGCCTTTGTTTCATCTCTAGATTTTGCTAGCTGCCATACTCGGCTGCTGTTAATATTCCCTTTCATTCCCAAGCAAAGCCTTATTTAGTTGAATAGTCTCAGTCATCATCAGACTGTACAGTTTTCCATTAGGCTGGGCTGGACATATGGAGACATAGGGATATATTTACCCTAACAATAAAGTAATCTTAATGTCAGTTTCATTTATAGTTTTAGAGGTGATTTGGCCCTTGAGAAGACACATTTCCCCCACATGCAATTAATAGCTGGATCAGTGGCTCCACACACAGAGCACCAAGCCTCTACCCAGCCTTGTTACATGAATTGGGTGATGAAACAAATATTTAATCTAGCATTAATTAATTCATTCATTCAGTGACGGACATCAGTATTAACAGCATTAACAATTCATAGGCTCAAATGAGATTCATTAGATCTGAGCAAATAGATCTCCGCTGCTGAGGGTCATCTTGACCTCAGGCCCGATGTAAGTAGGCTATCTGGAAAACTACTAAATCAACCAAGCAAACATAGATATTTGTGTGTACTTTGACCATTTACCTGACACAGTTGTAATAGATAAGAGTTAGCTCATTTTTGTTTTACCTGTTGGGCATATTTCTTTGCTTTTGAACTGTCTTGCTCTTGTCTGGACTCTGCTGCTGTCCCTCCTTCCCTATCCCAGGCTCTACCCAATGAAACTCTTTTTTATCTGCCCCACCAATGAATGTGTCTGTTCCTTGAAACTGAATTTAGTATCTCTTTGATGATCACATGGTTGTAACCATTTCTAATACTCATCATCACACCAACTCCTCTCACATGGCCTCTCTTTTCTTCTCTCCTCAGTTTATCTTTCTTGGCCTCAGGCTGCTTTCTGAACATTATTGGGATTAACTGGTTTATTCACTGTTTGTTTCTAACAACTTGTCTTCTCTCTCCCTTCCTGTACCTCTCTTTAGCGGTGTAAAGACAAGTTAAACTCTCTGGCCATCTCTGTGATGAACATGTGGCCGGGAGTTAAGCTGAGAGTGACAGAGGGCTGGGATGAGGACGGTCACCATTCAGAGGACTCGCTGCACTACGAGGGACGTGCTGTTGACATCACCACGTCAGATAGGTAGGCACGTAAATAGAACAGACATAAGCCAAGGCATGAGGTAAACTATTTACATCCTGTCAATTATGACAGGTAACAGGTCAGTCAGTCAACTTCTCAGTAGTGTGATGAGTCAGCCGGTGAGACAGCAGACTAGCCTTGTTTTTGCTAATCACCAAACATTTTAGAGTGTTATGATATTTACATTAATGCCGATCTAACAATAATGGTCTTCTGTGTCATGTTAGTCAAGCTTTGGTTGAATCACATAAGAATATATTTATATTTCTCTTCATAGGGACAGAAATAAGTACGCCATGTTAGCCCGGTTAGCTGTAGAGGCTGGATTTGACTGGGTCTACTATGAGTCTAAAGCCCACATTCACTGTAGCGTAAAGTCAGGTAAGAGATGGATATGAGCTACTGTGTGTGCGAGTGTATCTGCATTATTTGAATGTGTGTCTATATACATTTGTTTTTACATCATATTCGCTGCTGTTGGTCATTTGCACTGGTGCCCATGTACATTTCATAAGCTATTATGCATCTCATCACCAACGCTCCTGGTGATGCTGACCACCTGACAATCTTCTTCTTATTATTTGCACTACTGTCACTGTTTGCACATGGCTTTGAGTTTCATCATAGCCTGTTAGGTTGTTCCATCCAGTCTATCCTTATTACTTGAACTCAGTTTTCATATTCTGTTTCTTCTACTTTTATTCTATTTTAGTTTCTTAAATGGTATGGGCATTCAACTTTAGGTGAGAGAGAAACAGTATTTCGATTTTTCTGTATGTCCTGCACATATAGTGAATTGACAATAAAGATCTTTGATCTTTGATCTAATGAGGTAGATGCTGGATCCTTTGTGATGATTTGCATGCCTTTCTGTGCCTGTCTGTGTGTGTTTGGTCTACTACAGTCAGTCCCAGTTCTTGTTCAGATCTCATCATGAACCGATCAGTCCTTGTGATCGCACAATATTTATTTGTATGTTCTGACAGAGTCATTATAAAATGACCAGTTTTGATATGAATGAAAACTATTTTCTGTTTAGTAGTAGGACAGTGGCATAGCTACAGTAATATTGGTCATGCAAGAATACGTTTTTGGCCAAAAAAAAAAAAATAAAGTGATATCCACTGGATTAAATTTTAATAATTTAAAGATTCATCCAAATCATCTTTCTGCATTTTGATACTAAAGTGCTTACTGTTATTGTTAACTTACAATTCTCCAAGACACACACACTTTATGAAACAGAAATCAGATACAGTCCTTATACAAACAATACTTGACTACATTCCACCACAAGCTATTCTAACCTTTGAGGCATTTTAGAAATCTATTTACCCATGTCTGGTACCACCAGTTATTTGATGCCAAACCATATTCAAGCACCTGCTGAGTTTAGTAGGCTGTGAGATGATTAACTCTCTCTTTGTTTTGTTGTTGCTTTTCATTCACTAAGTTTCTCTCAGATCTCTTATCTGAGTCTTATCACCTCCCGGTCGCAGCCTCCTCCTTTTCTGCAGCCCTCGAGCTTACAGACACACACGCCTTGGACAAATATTTGGCTTCCTTAAGACAGCTTCCCTCCCACAAGCACACACGGACACACATTTGATGAAAAGTGATAAAGTTCTTATTTCTAACTCATTTTGCCGGCAAATTTTTTCCCCTTTTATTCTTGCCTGTTATTGCCTTCTCAGTTTCCCTAAGGCCATTCCACAATGTCTTTTCCAAAGTAATATAACTAATTTTTGGGATTAAAACTCATTACATTGTGTCAGTGCTACTTCCATGTGTGAACACGTGAATGACCATGTGACTCAGTTTAAATCACAACCTCTGCTGCAGTCCAAACAATATCTAGACCCAGGTCTCAGTCTGTGTACTTTCCTGCCTCCCTGACCCCAGACCGTGCTTTGAATGTGGTGGTACAATCAGCTGGTTATCCATTAGCTCTCACTGACTACCTCTTCTTGCCACCTTGTCTCATTGTGTCTTAAAGGGCCACCCCATTCAGCTGTATTCAGTCAAGATCAAATGCACAGCCTGTCGCCTCTTTGGCAGTATAAAAGAATGTCAGTATAGTCTGACAGAACAGAAAATGTATTTTTTTCATTCATGTTGTGTTACTAAAGTCATACTGATATCACCAAATTGATCAGAGCAGCAGGAAAGATGTACATGACACAGCAAAGTGAAGGGGCTGTCAGTCCCCTCTGTGAGCAGGAGGGTGTTTGCTACTTATTAGTTATCAGTGACCCCCACCAAACATTAGTCAAGTCTCAGAAAAGCTATATAAAGGATTTTAAGACTGACCGATCACCTGTTATAAGGGTTTTTGAAACAGCTCCACTTAGTTGTTTTTGTCACATGAGAAGTAATAGTGAAAGTAATCAGAAATCACTAAGAGGGTTTAGAAAAGTAAATGATCAACTGCAGATGGAATTAAAAAGGCTGATCTTAAATAAAGATTTCTGAATTGTGTTTCTGCGTGTGTTTATATACAGTATAAGGAGAAAGCCATTGGCAGACCGTAAAGACAGAGTTTGAACCCGAGTCACATTATACACATATGTTAACTATCTACCCCTGATTTACTGAGATAAAGTTGTCCTTGAGTCAGTGTCAAAGTCTTACCTAGTTTATAGATCATTCAGTGACCTAGCATAACCTGCAGATGTCCAAATGCTGCTGCTGCACTGTTGCTTCATACCTGAGAAAAATGTGTAATATATTCTTCTCGTTTTATGTTTTGTTTCCTCATCTTTAAGTCATTATAAATAGTACTGTATGATGATGATGATGATCAAAATTCAAATGGGGCTAAATGAAAACAGATAAGATTATCTTTTTTCTCTTTTTCATCTTTCTAGAACATTCTGTGGCAGCCAAAACCGGCGGTTGTTTCCCTGGAAATGCTCAGGTTTTTCTCAAGAGTGGAGCTACTAAACAGATGCATGATCTTCACCCTGGTGATCATGTCTTAGCTTCCTCAACAACAGATGGACATGGTCCTTTTCTCTACAGCCCAGTCTTATCTTTTTTGGACCGTCAGCCCAACGTCACAAAGATCTTTTATGTCATTGGCACCGATAGAGGATTTAATATTACAGCCACAGCAGCTCACCTGATCTTTGTCACGGACTGCGGTCGTGGGCTGAGTGAACCACACCGGGAGGAGACAGCTAAAGAGCCACTTTTAGGCTCCATTTCGAGGGGCAGGCCTGGCTGGGAAGCAGGTCTGATGACAGTTTTTGCTAGTGAGGTCCAGCCAGGACAGTGCGTAATTACACCGCAGGGGAAAATGACAACACATTCAGTTGTGACCTTTGTGAAGGAGCAGAGGAGCACCGGGTTGTATGCCCCACTCACCCAGCATGGGTCTATAGTGGTGAATGGAGTGCTGGCATCCTGCTATGCTGCTGTGGACAATCACTATTTGGCTCACTGGGTCCTGGGCCCACTGAGATTCTTCTACAGCCTGATAGCGCCTTCAGAACTGCCAACTGACGGGCTGCACTGGTACCCTTGGCTCTTACAGAAGCTGGGGCAAATGCTGCTGGATGCTGGACACTTCCACCCCTTGGGGATTGAACAAGGATATAGATAGGAACCACAGAGACATGTTTCACACTGTTATCATTCATTTATCTGTATTCAGGAGCAGCAAAGCACAGAATGCAGCTGTCTTTCTCAAGTGAGGGACCACAAAAGCCAACTGATTTTATAGTGTAAATGTATTTTTTACTAGCGTGTCTGTACTTCAACAAAGGGAGATATCATTATTATTATTATTATTATTTGTAATTTTAATGTCATTAATTCCAGAGGCCTGGAGAGAAAAGAAAATCAACATAAATCAAAATCAGAAGAAAATGTTTCAGTTAAATACCAACAGAAAATCTGACACAAGTACCCCCCCATTCAATTTACTCACCTTAAAGAAGACGGTGACTCAAAATCATCAGAAACACAGGGTTCATCATTCCTTTGTACTGTGCATGAGATTCAATATATTATATTGCATCTTAAGATCAAGCTAAGATGTACTGATATAGTTAGTAGAAATTTTAATGTTTGGGGAAAGAAGATGAAGCTTCATGAAGGAAATTAGGAATTTAACAAGGTCTGATTTGAAGCCGTCTATATACTATTTATATAGTAATGTAGTGTTTAGAAGGAAAGAAGAACAGCAAGTGAACCTTGCTCTGTTTACTTACACACAAATTCAGTGATTCACCCTTCTTTATAAAACCTAAACTGTGTTTTAGAATTAATTTACAAAACACTATTTAACTGGAAAATTTACAAAACCTATTAGAATATAATTTGATAAACTTGTGTTTGTTTACTGAGTGTGCGGTATAGCAGTGTGGTGGTAGCTACATATCTAAAAAGGGCTTTGTTGAAAAACTGTTTGACGGTAGGGCTTGGCGACGGACGCAGTAACTGTGCTGCAGTAACTGTGCCGCAGTAACTGTGCCGCAGTAATGTTTAGTTCAGTTTTACCAAATGTGTGAGGTACTGATGCAGGATAGAAGCACTGTAGACGAACTGTAATGGCCATTTTGTCCCTTTGTCCTTCCAAGTCTGTCATCTGCTCTTATTCAACTTGATTGTCTCAGACTGATTCATATGGTTCATTTACTCATGTTTTTATCAGGTATTTTGTGAAACATTATTTTTTTATCGTTTCCATTTTCAGGTCCGAGGTTTCTAGTGAAGTCATCCACAACACTCAGGCTACATTCAACTACTGTATTATCATGATAACACTTATTCTTAATCATGAATAGTAAAACTAGTTTGATAGCATTCCTTTAAATGATTTTTTATTTTCTTATTTTGTATTCCATCTCTCACCCAGGACCTAAATTGACAGGTACAGAAAATCCCATTTTTAACACTATAAGAAGCGGATCTAGTCTTGTGATATGCGGCAGATTCACATTATGTTTAACTGTTATGTAGGAACTCCAAGACATTCTTCTATATGTCTGCTCACAGATTTGTCAAATATGTATATTAAACTATTGTTGGAGACGCTATTTAAAAAAAATCTATTTTTAGAAAATAATGTAAACTATTATTATTTTGGCAACTCTGTGCATACAGTTTGTATTTTAAACATAAAGTTGTTCTTTTTAAACCAGAATTACTCTGTGCTTTATTTGCTAGCAACAGCTTTACAAAAGATTGTGCACTATACACTGTTAGACACTATAGTACTAAGAAATATGGATTACTCTTTGTAATAAAATACTTTCTTTTACATCATGCTCGCTCAGATAGAAAAGACCCAGAGTTTTTTAAAAAACATGATGAGGGGCTGACAACACGTGCTGATAATCTGCTGTTACGTGTTGATACGTAAACAGCCAGTGACCACTGTAAATCAGCTGGCGCCCTGTGAACACAGCGTGAACAGCTGTGGCTACAGGGTGGGCTGCCAGGTGGCTTCAGTACCACGGACAGCAGCGCTCAGCAACACTTCTTCTTTCTCCTCTCCATGCCTTGAAAGTTTTTTTTTTTTTTTGCAGGATGGAGAGTTGGTCCTTGAAACACAGCACACTCTGCTGGATGTATCAGTTTTTTCAGACAAGCCACCATGATGCACAAACAGCATTCAGCATACAGGACATCAACATTTTTTATTTTGTCTTTCTCCTTAGTTCTACTTATCTTTTCCATCTGGAAGCTGGAAAAGTAAATATAAGGATTCAATAATGTTTGTTCACATGATGAATGTTTGAGAACAATGAGCACCAAAAGATGAGCAAGCAGAGGGAGATTTAAATAATTTTATTATTATTAGTCAGTTAGCTATGGGGGAAACCTTTTGTCATATCCCATATTTCACTGACGGAGGCTGATGCATAAACACAGATAGAAAACCAGACCCAGGTAAAACACTCACCAAGTTATACATAAAATTTAAAAACAAAATGTGTGACTTGTTTACTGAAATGTGCAAATGATATTCTCACCTGAGGCTTTTTAAATAGCCTACACGTGAAAAAATTCATGCACATCTCAAAAGGTTAAAATATTGAAAACCATTAGAAAATTCATCCACCTGTATAGTGTAAATGTTTTTGTACTAGTGGTACATGCTGAGTAGTCTACTTACCGAGTCTGGTGGTTTGAAATGTATCTATGTGTCTCCATGTGATCACGTTTAACTCTGGAGCATGATACCCTGGTAACATTTTGAGGCGAGGGTGATGAACAACCAGCAATTATAATCAGGACAAATTTAGGGTGAAAGGTGGACAAACATACATCATGTAACTGTCTACCACCCCCTTACTAAGATTAAGAAAATAAATAATATATATATTTTTAAATTGCCTATTTCAACTGCCTCAAAGTGACCCAAGCATCACTGTTTGAAATCAATGGTGTTCACACAACAACACATGGGAAGACAGCATGCTCACAGTAACTCACATACAGATATGAATGTCTTTATAGAATATGTATCCGTCATCACAGCTTGGCAAAATTACACTTATACACAACAAATGCACATTAACACCTGGAACCATAATACCAGCCAGTGGATAAAGTCCTGAATACGTTTGAATTGTCACTGCCCAGCCAGAAAAGCTCCCTGTAAAAAGGACGACCTCATCCCCTGGTAATATCATCCAATAACAATAGCCTATAGATAAAGAATTTGTTTTCAACAACTCATAATCACACACATACAATCACACATACATACGTATATTTTCTCTCACACATAATACATGTTAGTCATGTGAAATTTCTTCAGTCAGTGACTGAACGTGAGATAGTTCAAACTACTTGCAGTGTGCAGCTATGTCAAGAGGCGTAAACCTGACAGAAGTACAAAATGCTCCACAGCATCTTCAGTTGGCAACTATGTTGACTTCCATCAGGCTATATGTAGTCATTGCTTACCAGCATATAAAAATAAAAGTAGTTGTTCTGGTGCATATTCTGAATCATCTGCATTTCACTTAAGTTGTCTCTATGCAAAACCCAAGGAATTGTTTATGACACTTTTTTAAAAGCAAATGAGGCTGTGGCTCAGTTATCACATAGTCATTAGTGTTCGGGTGTGTTGCCTAGCTCTTATACTACCAGTAGCAGCTTCTCGTTGCTGTAAGATTAGTGGCTAGCTGATTAGCAAGCCTGGCTAATGCATATTTGGAATCCACTGTGATGTGTTTACATGCCCACTCCACATAACGTCTGACAACTTTAATGTAAATAACAAGGAATAAAAAACATGATAGTCAAAAATCTTTTTAACTGTCATGTTTTTTTTCTACTGTATAGGTCTGTATCGGTTTAAATATTTTGAACTGAATTCTTGCTGTTACTTTAGTTAGGCTGGTGTCTGATGACCAGTGAACTGCATATTTATTTAGATTTTGAACAACAGCTTCACACTACAATACCACCATAAAATCAAAAGTAATTCAACAACCAAGGGCCTACGCTTCACAGATTGATGATTAAAGTAGGATTGGGTACTGGGCTGGATGTGTTCAAAAGTCACTGTGTCAGGAGTGTGATGACCAATCAGAGAACCCCAGGAGTAATTAAAGATGAGCAGTTAGCCGATTAGACCTTGGCACCTTGTGTGCTCAAAGGTCCTTCTGCAGTTTGACAGAGATGTTGCCAGCTAGGAGTGGAATGTTTCTAAAAACTTAATGCCAACTCTACTGAGTGTGTATCACTGTGTTTAAGCTCGGTTTTAGTAATCACACCCTCTCAACCTTTATGAAACAGTGCGTGTTAGAGATGCTCTGCTACACTTAATAAATTCTGTCTTTCAGCATCACATGAACAAAAGCGCATCTCAAAAGACATTTGCTCTGTTCTTGTGGTGGTAGATGCTTGAGAGACTTTATGATGAGACATGACTAATAATAAAATAATACAATGCAGTTACAGTGGCAGCCATTGTAGAGGGACCCCACCACCCACACACGCACACACCCCCTGCATCAAGCCTGTATGAACAGGATTCTCTAATCAGTTCCTCTGATGTGGAGAAGCAACATAATAAGACAAACCAGGACCTGTGAAATGGCTACATGTGTAATTTGTAAATGTTGGCAGAAATCCACAGCAATGCCAAGATCCACTTTTAGCACAGTGTAGCAGATTTTAGAAATGCATGGTTTCAGCCAGGGCTGTCATAGCTCTGCTTCTATGGCCAAAGTCCTAGTAAAGATACAGTATCAGGGCAAAAGAGGGAATGTAGGATAGAGGCAACAGGAAGAGAGACATGAAGAAAGAAGCTGGAATGACATCCTCCTCTTTCACAGCCTCTGAGTGAAGTTTTCAGGGAATACGCCTTTAGTGGCATTTTCTTTGTTCTGCTGCCAGTCAGTTTGCTCTATTCCCATCAGCCAGCCGTCATCCTAAACACACAGACATGCAAATCAGCTACATCACTGTCACCGTGACACAGCAGTACACACCTGTGTGTGTTTGTGTATACCTGTTCATCGGAGTTGTCAAAGGGGATTACTAGCACCACATCTCCAACCTTCATCTCCAGTTCATCTGTGTCATTGGCAGCATAGTCATGCATCACTTGGACCTGTATCATTTAAACACAAACATAAATTATCACTATACATACAAGATATGCCTAGTTTAGAGTAGGCTCAACATTACTGATATGTTGTCCTGTGCACTGATTTACCTTGAACATGAAACCAGGGGGCATTTCTGCAGGCTCTGATGCTGCTTCAGTCGATTCCTCTACTACTGCAGGTGTCTAGACAAAAAATGTACTATTTACTTAGTGACTATTCACACTGCAACACTTCTTCATCTTTTAAAGAGATAAAAGTCTTTAAGTCTTAGTTCATAACTGGTGTGAATATATATATATTATATATATATAAAACAATTCACAATTATCATACAGCATCTTGTATTTACTGCTTAGCTGCTAACTGTTTTGGAAACAAAATAGCATTAGATTAACATCTAGGAATAAAAACACAAGATGAAAGATGTTGCATGTTAGAGGCGTTCGCCCTGCACTCACCTCCCCTGTCGCTGCTTCTTCTGCTGTTGTTGCAGCAGCTGCTGCAGATTCACCCTGGCAGCAGGACATAAAGGAATAACAGAAAACGGTTAGAGAATCAAACAGAAAAATGACTTCAATAAGGAGGAAGAAAGAATGGAAGAAAGAAGAACAGACAGACAAGATGAAGACAAAAGACAAACAGCACAGCCCTAAACAACGAAGTCACTGTTATTACAAGCATTGGATACTATTGCACAGTTGAAATAAAGATACAGTACAGCTTTTGCTCAGTATATGTGACTAAGTCTGTGCACTGAGAAGCAGATCTCTATTCTTTTCTTTCCCTCATCAAATAATTTCCATTCTGGCTTCTGCATCACAGTTGATGCATCCATGCTGCTGGTCCAGATGCATCCCAACTCTTTCCATATCAAGTTTCCTCTCCTCCTTTTATTTACAGTGTATCTCTCTATCATTTGTTTCTTCCCAGTACCCCATGCTCAAACCTCCTCCTCAAAAGTTGATGCATCCAGATGCAATTCTCCATCTTTTCTTTCCTTGGTTACCTGACCCTCTTCATTATCCAACGTAGCAGCAGCAGCAGGGGTGGCTTCTTCCTCAGCAGTGTCAGCTGGAGCCTCAGCTGCAGGTGTTTCATCCTCAGTGGCAGGAACATCTGTGACTGGCTGGATCCCGTCATCGCCCCAGCCCTCCTGGGCTTCAGCCACAGGGTCGTAATCAACCGGCTGCCTCCCATCATCCTCCCATCCCTCCTGAGCCGCAGCCACAGGATCATAGTGGACTGGTTGGGTTCCATCATCACCCCAGCCCTCTGTGGCAGCTGCTATGGGGTCATAGCAGACTGGGTGCAAACCATCATCCCCCCAGGCCTCCGCAGCAGCAGCCACAGGGTCATAGTGACACTGGGCATCCTCTTCCTGGGCACCACTGTCCTCAGGCTGAGGGACAAGGGTCAGGTTTCAAGGAATCAGAGGTCATAAGAGATATATACCTTATGGCTATTGTAAAAGCTTTGTGACGACGGAGGAAATTTTAATGGGACAAAATAAAGTAAAATATTTTTGATTAG